GGAGGAGACGCGGGGTTTCCGAGCAGCGTTTTTACGCAGCGAGAGGCAAGGACCCAGCCCCGCAGAGCAGCGCGTCCCAGCCGCCTCCGCCGGGGCCGCCGCGCCCAGATCAGCATCCTGCGTGGAAAGGAAAGGCTCCCTCCCCTCCCGGCCCCCAGGGTTCCCACGGTCCGGAGTCAGAAACCTGGACTTGCCCCCGCGCGACGACGGCAGGCCCCACGGCCACGGCTACTCGTATTTTAACCAAAACCACAGACCCGGGCGGCGAGGGGCCGCGGTGTCTAGAATGTATCCCTCCATCCGAAGCGAGCGTAGAGCGTTTTAAAAAAAATAGTAATTTTATTGTAAATTATTTACGTCGGAAGCTTTTCCTTTCTTTCTTCCTTTTTTTTTTTTTTTTTTTTAAATTAGGCAAATTATTTTTAGTGAAGAGAATAATGGAGGATTCGTTCGCGGGTAGGTGTCGCTGAATCCTGGCTACTAACTTTGTTCTGAATGTTTTGGATATTTGGATGTTTTGTATTTATGTGGTGAGAGTGAAATATATATCTATGATGAGCAACGAGGTGTATTTTCGTCTTGCATTTGAAGGGGGAAAAAAACCCAAAAAACAAAAGCAGAAACACCCAGCAAATGATGAGTCTGCGTGGGGACTCTGGGGACAGAGGGTGAAGGTTTTGGCGGGTGTGTGTGTGGGGGGGACTGGTACCCTGAACTCCAGGGATGAGGTTTTGGGGGGATTTCAGTAAGAGAGATGGAGACCCCGGCTTCGATGGCCCTTCCACTTGTTTGAGCATCCACTGTCCAGGTCTCTGTCCCAAGGACGTGGCCCTTCAGCCCCCCCATCTCCCACTTTGCGTTTCTTGGTTTTCTTAGGAACTTGTCTCTGGACACCCTGAATTTCCTGCCGCCTAACGCTCCGGTTTCTAGAGTTCTCCAGCCGCACCTCCAAGCCCGCGGTGTTTTGGATTTTGTGCCATCACAGGGCCCAGGAGAGGCAGGGTTTTCCTTCTTCTGACTTTAGAATAAGTCTCCACGGTCAGAGAGACACTTTGAAGGAACAAGAGAACTGAGCAGATATTAACTCCTGCAGGGATGCTCCCTCCACCCCGCCCCATACAGGGCCAGGACTGACAGACCTGGACGTGGCAAACGGAAATCTTGGGGAGCTAGGAGGGCTGGGGAGAGTGCTCTCGGGAGCACTGTCCTAACACATCCCAAGTCCCCCCCCAGGGGGGGCACAGCAGCTGGAGCTGGTCTTCCCAGCCCGCACACCTGGGAGATGTGGGGGCCCACCGTTCTCTTGGGGAACCCACGCCCACCAGGCCCTATGTATGTATTTTGCCACAGGTTTTCTGCATCCGAAATAAGGCTGCGGTGCAGTGTGGTGGGCAGAGGGGTTCCTGGGCTTAGTGTGGATTGGGGTGCCCCGGGTTTAGGACCTTCGCCATGAGCTCGGCGTTTGCTGGGAGCACCAACCAGACAGTTCACTTCTGTTTCTCAAGGTGACTGCACACCCCTCAGCTGCGCTCCCTCTGGTTCGGTCCCCTGCCTATCTTCCCCTGCTTTCTCCTCTCAGGCAGACCTCTGCGCTC